TATTCCAGAAAGATACCCGCCCGTCCAAAGAACCCCATAACATTAAGAACATATTTCACTTCTAGAACGACCTTGCCCAGTAAAAAAAAATGACCTTGCCCACCAAAAAAAGTGACCTTGCCCAGCAAAAAAGATGACCTGCACAGTAAACAAATGACCTTGCCAGAAAAAAATGACCTTGCCCAGTAAAAAATGACCTTGCCCAGTAAAAACATGACCTTGCACAGTCAAAATATGACCTTGCCCAATAAAAGAGTTACTGGGCAAGGTTATTCTGTTACTGGGCAAGGTCATTTTTTTTACTGGGCAAGGGCGTTTTTTGGGCCGAACGACCTTGCCCATTAAACAAATGACCTAGGCCAGTAAAAAAATGACCTTGCCCGGTAAAAAATGACCTTGCCCAGAAAAACGGCGACCTTGCCCAGTAACTCCCCAACATTTGAATTATATGTATGAAAGAGAGGTTTAGGGTTTGGGCCCCAATAAAGGGCTAGGGTCTAGGGTTTAGGGTTCAGGGTTTAGGGTTTGGGGTTTAGTTGTAGGAGGGGGTAGTATAATCCCTATGAAGGACTGCTAGTAGAAGGGCGAACATCCCAACTTCAGGGTCTGGTGTTTGGGCAATGGTTTTGCTTAGGAACTGGGGCTTGGGGTCTCTAAGGCTCAGGGTTAACCCTAAGCCTTACACCCAAAACTGCAAACCCTTTGGGTTTGTTTGTTTTCACATATTTAGGGGTCTAGGCCGGGCAGTTAGGATTCGGCATTAAGCTGAAACTGGCCCCAAACGACCCGCGAGCCTTCAGGGCTTTCAAGGTTCTGGGGCCAAAGAGAGAGAGAGAGAGAGAGAGAGAGAGAGAGAGAGAGAGAGAGAGAGAGAGAGAGAGAGAGAGAGAGAGAGAGAGAGAGAGAGAGAGAAAGAGAAAGAGAAAGAGAAAGAGAAAGAGAAAGAGAAAGAGAAAGAGAAAGAGAGAGAGAGAGAGAGAGACAGAGAAAGAGACAGAGAAAGAGAAAGAGAAAGAGAAAGAGAAAGAGAAAGAGAAAGAGAAAGAGAAAGAGAAAGAGAAAGAGAGAGAGGGAGAAAGAGGGAGACATATATATATATATATGTATATGTATATATATATATATATAGACTATATATATATATATATATAGACTCTATATATATATATATATATATTATATATATCTGTACGCTCCCCCCCCATGATCCACACATTTGGCCTCGGGAGGGGGGGAGGGGCCAGAACTCCAGATTCCTGGAATACCGGGCCCCGGACTACCTCCAGACTCCAGACTACAGATTTCCAGAAACTATCTGGAGACTCCTCTGGGGTCCCGGTACTCCAGATTCACTCTGGAAATCTGGAGTCTGAAGTCCGGGACCGCTTTGGAAATATGAAGTCTGGAGTCCGGGGCCCGTGTTCTCCGTATGCACTCTGGCAATGAATCACGAATCACAAGGATAAAATGATACTGCTTAATGGAAATAAAGAGAAACACACATGAAGGGTACTGCGCTATGTCTCCTATGTGCCATGGACCTTTGCGTATCATGTGGGCGCACCTCTGTTTTGACTACTTAACATGCCCAACTACATACACAGGCGGAGTAGAACAAGAAACATGCTTTACTTAAACCAAGCATCGTTAGTTGCAAGTTCATCATCACAAATCCCTTGAACACGACACCAAATTTCTGAAACGAGGAAAGCCTCAAAGACATTCTCAACCAACAATGCAAGTTTAACTCTGCCTTCACGAACACTTCTAACCAAAGTCCAAACCCAAAGTAAACACAACGAGTGTTGCCCTGACGACTAAAGCGCTCAAACCGGTTTAGGCTTTACGGTTGAGGGTTTAGGGTTTAGGGACTCCTACAACCTTAAAATTCAACCACTCAACTTCAACGCCTATCTCAAACTGAACACTGAACATCACTCCGAAACACTGAACATTACGCTCCAAGACAAGCCTAAATGAAAACCGTCCTACACTGAAAGTTAAGACTCAATGGATGTTCTCGTCGCCTCGGAAGTTTTGATGTCCAGCGTCGCCTAAGCTCTACCTCACTCTGACGTTGCCAAAACGGCAGTGCGTCTGTAGTCTTGAAAAATTCTCTGCGGCATCGTAACACGGAGGAGCACAGCAACGTGAGCACATTCCCTTCACATGTGCCCTTATACCACCACGAACTGGTCAAGCGCTTAAGATTCTGATGGGAATAACCCTAGACAAGCTAGAAAGCCAGCTTTTTTTATTTATGATTTGAATACACTTCTTGATATGGCTTATGGATACACATACATGCAGGATACGACCGACAGGTATGGTTGTCAGTATGAAATGAATTGCTTCCACTACAGCACATACGAGGCCCCGAGGACCTTGCGAAGGTTTTGCTATCTGTGGACAGCAAACGAATTCCAAGAGCTCTTGCAGAGATCCCAGAACCAGCAGGAGCTGCGTGGGACTGCGTGATCGCGTCGCGTGCGTATCTCATCTCACTGTCTTCGGTTCAGGGCCAGGGTTTAGGGGGGGGGGGGGTCGGCGTATCGGAAATCATATCTGTTTGCGGCCACTGCTCCAGAATCATATCGGAAATCGTATTGGCTGGGCCGACCCCTTCCAGAATCGTAATGGAAATCGTATCGGCTTGGCCCCCCCCCCTTTCGGAGTCGGATTGTGCATCGTATCGGCCTGGACGACCCCCTTCCAGAATCGTATTGGAAATCGTATCGCCAGATCGTATCGGTTTTCCTTTTACAGAAGAGGAGAAGCCAGCCTCCAGGCGATACGATTCCCCGATACGAAAAACGACACGATTTCCGCGCCCCCCCAAAACCCCCCCCAACCCCCGCCACACCCGCCCCAGACCCCGCAACCCCCCCCAACCCCGCCCCCCCCACCCCCCCACCCCCCCACCCCCCACCCCCACCCCCCCACCCCACCCCACCCCCCCCCCTCCACCCTCCAACCCAACCCAACCAACCACCCCCAAACCCCCCCCACCCAAACCCCCCTTGTTGCGTTGGCGCACTGTCTGGGGAAAGAAGGTGAGGGTTTAGGATTGTAGGGTTTAGTGTTTAGGGCACGTTATGCTGCGGCCTTCAAAATTGCGCAGAGTAAACATATCTGCCTTCTGTATTGACATAACCTGTGTGTCAGTCAACCATAGAAGTCATATCTGCCTTCTGTACTGGCCGAGACTATGTATCAGCCAAACATATTGAAAACCATATCAAAAAAATGTTTGGACATGTGCCAGTTGTATATATTTTCAACATCATAAGCTTAAGAGACACACTGGTAACCTTATTCTGTAGGAGCTGTTCTAAGACTGCACACATCGCTTCCCTCACTCACACCCTCCAACTCCAACGCCAAGAATGACCATGAATTCAGGGAGCATAGGGGTTTAGGGATCAGTCACTTTTGCTTTGGGGGGAGTTTCCTCGGTAGCTGTAAGCGGGGTTTGAAGATTTTGAAGTTAGAAGCAGGGCCGAAACACGAAACGCGAAACCCTAAACCCGCCAAGGAGTGCAGTTGCATCGACCGAAAGTCCTTGCGCGAGGTGGGTCATCCTCGGGTTCTGTGTGGGATTTGGGACTCATGGTTTAGAGTTAAGGGGTTTATAGGGTACCAAACCCGACAAAGCCTACACAACCCCCGCCCCCCCCCCCCCTCCCTCCCCCAAACCTCAAACCCTAAATCCAAACCAAACGACTTCCTCTCACAGCCCTAAGCTGTAAGGACTCTTAGCTTTTTTTAGGGCGCTGAACCCGCAGACCAGGCTACATAAGGCTGTTTGCATGTGAGCTGTAGGGTGAACCACGCAGCCAACCATCCAAGCGTGCCTTGGCGGCAATGGCATCGTAGTGGCTGTCAATGAGTTTCTTCGTGTCAATCAGCTCGGCCTGCGGGGGAATTTGCTCTTCGGCCTGAGGGATTAGGAACAGGCTTAGAGTTTCGCAGGGCTGGCCAAAAGAAACCTCAGAAAATGACATCAGCCAACCAACAGCAAAGCCAACTCTTTTTCGAGATTTCCAGCGCCAAATCTCAGTCATTGTCCAGCGGCCACCTGGCAGAAGATTCTTAAGTTCAAGGCTTCCAGGCTTTTGGTCGGCTTAGGAATGAGGCTGGTTTGTTGGGCGACGAATTTGAAGGTTTAAGGCATGGATTCAAACTGACAGAGAGGCCCACTTGCGAACTCCTTAAGTTGATCAAACACACTTCAAATGGAGCTCACACAGATCTCAGTCCCCTCTTTTTTCATCCAACTGCACCAAACTCAGCGTCAGCTGATCCTTTGCCCGACTCTTCCTCCATGCTCTGCCAGAGCTCGTCGCGTGTTTTTTTCCAGGCCAACCCCTCATCAGAGGCCATCCAGTCACTCATCTTCTGGCGCTGAGTCGACCTCACACCCTTCTGTCCTCCAACGAAAGCAGGCAGGGCTTCGATATTCAGTCGGTTGCGGCGGTGCGACACCACACGTTGCAAAGCCTCACGAGTTTTGACATCCAGCTCTAGCGGGGCGTGAACATCACGATGCATGGCCATCTTTTGGGCAACATTCTTGTAGAGGTCGGCCAAACTATCCAAAGCCATGCCATCCTCGTCTGCACTTGGCAGGGATTGCATGAAAGAACGCTTAGCCTTCTCGTTTGAAAGCGCCAACCGTGAGTCCAAAGATATATTGCCTGTGCGTGGAGCCCCTCTTTGCACACGCCTTGCTCGGGCACTCTTCTCGCTAAAAGGGTTTTTGTTTACCAGAGCAGCCACGACACCTTCGATCAGTGACTCGTCCCGCTGCCCACCAATGGCCTCGACGCCCTCGATCCTCAATCTCAAGCGGTCAGCAATTCTAGCAGCTGCCATGCACGTCTCACCGTCGCTCATGTCATGCAGGTAGCTGCCTACCCGCTCGCAGCTGCTGGACGCTGATTGGGAGGCGCAGGAAAGAGTTAGCATGAATGCTACATGCCAGCAGTGGGTGCGCTTGGTCATATTGACATTGGTGTAGCAATGGAGATAACATGAACTACAAGTGCCCATCTTTTGGCAAAGGGTCCCCGCACCAATTTGACGTACTCTCCAGCCTCGAGAAGGTCCTGTGGCTCCCCGTGCCAGCACTCCAAGCACTGTGGTCGCACTGCAAACGTTGCCTCCTCAGCAGGCTGAACCAACATCCGGCAGATGGTGTCGATGATGCACATAACACCACTGCTGTCAAAACATGACTTTGAAACCCGGAAAAGCGCGGTCAAAAGGCGCAGGCGCATGCGTGGCGGCGCCACCAAAGAAACATGACATTGCTCCACTTTCTCCCGGCAACGTTCCTTTTGTTTGGTCAGGATCGCTCGCAAGACACGATATTGGCGTTGCGCCTCTTTTTGCGATGGCCAAGACTTCTCCACATAGTCGAAATCAGGCCAATGCGTGCCAGCATCTACCTGAGACTTGAAATGGAGCCTGAGGCGCTCCAAGGCATCATACTGTTCCTGCGTCGGGGACCCAGCAGCAATCAGTTTGTCAAAGTCCCAGCAGCAGCTCATGTCGGGCAGGAGCTTCTGCAAGTGGCGTGGCACGCCGATGTCAGTCCAGTACGCAGTATATGATTCATGCAGGGCCTTCAGGAAGTGATCATTTGCCTGCGCTGCTCGTTGCAGCAGTCGCTGCACTTCTGGTTCAAAACGTGATGTCTCGCACGCTGGCAAATGTTTTCGAAACAAAGACACACCTTGAAGAGCCGGCCGCGCAGGAGGTCTAGGAAACGTCTCATAGCGTAGTGGTACATCGATTGGGCGCAATCTCGCTTGTGCCTTTGCAGTCTCAGGGCTCAGGCTGGAAAAGGCAACCCACTCTGGAACTGCAACTCGGCGCTTCCGCCGTCTGAAGGTCAGTGGCACCGGCACATACTCACGCTCTTTTGAACGACGGCTGCGGCACCAACAGCGTGGGGTGACGCAAATTGTGTTTGCAGCCAGGTTCGTAAAGACTTGAAGGTCCACTGCCTGAAACTGACGCAGAACCAGAATGTCGAAGAAATGTCGCATAGTCTGGGGGAATCTGCGGCCCATTTTGCTAAAGCGCATGGCCCTCATTAAGTGCTGCAAATCCTCGTGGGGGCTGTATAGTGTTGCAAAAGCCCAATGACCGCAATCAATCTACGGATCTCATAGAGCAAGTCAACGTCTTCCAGCACTTGCTGCTGCTTACGTGCCAACGCCAACTCTGTTGCCCAGGGCAGCGACTCTTGCTCTTGCACGGCGAGGGTGAAGGGACGCTGTCTGTTCATAACATCAGAGGAAAGCAGCGTGAAGAAGAGGAAGTCAGGAGCCAGCAGCCTTCGGCCAAGGACAAGGAGACTGCTCTGAGATCCAGCGCCATGTCCTGCCTTTCGACGAGCGAGACGCGCGTGCAGCCCAATAGCATAGCGTCGGAAGTTCCGCAGGACATTACTTGCCACCAATATCAGGGACTCACCTTTGCGAGTCCCTCCCATGTTGGCCGCAGCTGGTGTCTGCTCCCCGCCTTCGTCGCCCAGGAACCCAGAGACGGCCCTGAGCAGCACCCGCCCACAGCCAAAGCCGAATTGTTGCGACATGCCGCGTGCCACAGCAAACAATTCCTTCCCAAACTCCGATTGCTCCAGCGCATACTTGAAAGCAGCTTCGGAGCGATGAAAAGGGTCCCATACAACGTTCTGCTGACCAACCGATTCGGGGTAGATGGCATCGGCTACAAAGTTGGCAGCCCTGGTCGAAGCGTGACGCTGCAAGGGGCCGCCTGCTGTGACAGCTCCGTCGCCTCCGAGCATCGCCACAGCTCTGGCACGAAGATGGGCCAGACTCAAGTTTTTGCCAGCGAGACAGCTAAGAACCACAGTGCTCTGCAAAGTCCAGCTGATGGGCATCCCAAGAAGTATGGTTTCAGGCAGCCTGTGTATGGTGACACAGCTGACACCATAATCACCTGAAAGGTTTCTGCTCTGCAGAACATACCGTCGCCCACAGACAATGGAGATTGGTGATAAAACTCCAAGGCCGGGCAACTTCTTGAAGAGGGCATCCGCTTGCAGAAACTCAAAGAATTTTGCGGATACAAATTCACAGAGTCTCAGAACCTTTTTGGACGCGAACTTCTCGCCAACGTCCACTGAATATAACCGGAGTTTCTGCAGCGATTGGACAAATTCATCGTCTGGCCGTGCGTGACAAGAGTTGTGGATGGCCTCACGAACAAGCAGTGTGAGGACTCTCTTGCGGTGTTCCTCCTTGGATTCCACTCGGTCGTCCTCCTTGTCTGGAACATCATCTGCTGCTGCCCTCCCCAGGACAGTCCACCCAGCATTCTTCACCTTGTGGAACACAAAACTGACGGTATTCCCAGGCAGTCTCAACAGCCGAGAAGCGGCTTTCGCTGCTAAAGGCCGAACATCATCTGACACAGAAGGCAAGGAAGGAAGTTTCTGGCAGATCTGCTGAAGTAAGTGCCGGGGCAGCTTTGCAAGGTTCAAGTATACATTTGTCAGCAAGACCTGCCCTTGTGCAAGAAGAGCCTGCCGCTGAGACACATAGCCACCCACATTGACTCCGGCACTCCATCCCAGCTGGTCCTTCTGGGACTGTTCTGTCTGTCCCGACTCCAGATCAACTACAACAAAATCACTCGGAGCAGGTGGCTCATGCCAGTCAATCTCAAGGCCAGGGCCGGCTTGCAAGGGAGACAGGGCTTCACCGCCCAACTCCAGAACGGAAGGATCATCCTCATCCTCTTCAACAATCTGTATACAGGCCATGGGGATCTCGCACAGTCACAGTCACACAAGGCAGAGGCTGTAGCTGTTGGCAAAATTACCCGCTTCTAAAATTGGGGCCAGGAGAACTCAAGGGACCACTCCGGCAATGAATGCACACTTTCCAGACATGAACATACGCATTTTGACACCCAGCTGGGTTCACTTCAGAGGCGGGTGCTTTCCTCAAGGGAATGAATGCATCCAGTGAAAGGTTTCGACTGCTTGGGGCTTGATGGAAGCGGGCGGAAGCAACCCCTGGCATGAGCTCGACATGAACACGTACACATTTTGAGAACTAAGAGGCGAGCGCTTATTTCTGGAAACGAGTGAGGTTCAACTGAAACAAGGAAAACTCCCCAGACGTGACTGCCTGCCAAACTTGAATACACAACTTACAGAGGCGGCCACTTTGCCATTCTTGGTTGGATTATCCCAGCGGAGGAGCCCCAGACATGAACGCCGACTGAATTCAACCCAGCTAGGCTTCTATGGAATCCCCAGACCAGCGCAAAGCAATCCTGCTGGCAACCAAAACGCCCACTCCTGGCCGAAGCTATTCAGCTCCAGCTGGAATCATTAAACTGGCCAGTCCTGCCTTCACCATCAGGAGCCACCCCAGCACACGCTCATCATCCTGCAGCAAAGATTCGTGGTTCAGGCACGCTCACTCCTAACCGAAGCTTTGCAGCTCCAGCCAGAATCTTCAACCCGTCCCCAACCCACCCCTCACCACATACCACTGTCCCCACCCCCCACTCAGCCTAGCCCATGCGGCCGGCGCAACAACAATGAGAGCAACTAAGAAATACATTTACTTTCTTCTTTCCCTTGCGTCAGCAGCAAGGCATCTCTGTCACCACAGGGCCACACCCCACCTTGGCACAGCAGGGCAGAAGAAGAAATGACAAACAACCCTTGCTCTGCCTGCAAGTTGATTACACTGGCCCTACACTGTCTGCGTGCTTTTTGCTCGAGCGCCATACTGACTGGCAGAGTATAATTGGCCATAGGCCGACATTTGTGACCGTGCCACTGGATGCTGTCAAATCAAAATCGGCAGTGGGTGGGAGGCATGACCGTCGCAGCCAACTCTGGCATTGTTATTACGTCTAGACAATGAGAATAATCAGCTTATCTCGAGTCGTCGGCTGTGCGGCGGCCAGCATGTCAAAATCCATCTTGCCACGCTTCTGAGTGAGCTTCAAAAACTGCCTTGAGCAGCTTCGCGCCTTGCACCTGGAAACCCCAGCACCATGAAACATGGCCCACAGCTGTCAACGCCTTAGTGATGCCTTTGGCAATTTTCAGACAAGTCGGTCAGGTACCATGGCAAGCCATCCAACTCCAACTTGCCTCAGACAGTCTGATATTTTGTAGTAGCCTGTCAGACTGTCACACCCCACACTGCGCAGGTCCGAGGCGCCGGGGGATTTGCCCTGCGGGAAGGACTTGTACCCATGCACGGTGTTGATATTGTAGTCTTCAATCATCTCTTTCATCGTCATGATTCGCTTGTTCCTCAGTGAAATTCAATGTCCAGATTTCACACGTAAGATGTCATGATGTGCCTGCAACATGAACATGTCACAGCGGCGTCTGATTGTCTTCTACAAGCAGTAGAGCACAGGCACTTGGCAACATCCACAACAGTGCTGGCAAATCGAGAGGAATAGAATCTGGTGGCACTGTGCCCGAACGGACCGACGGCCTCGAAGCGAACGAGTGACTTCTTCGGAATGCGCTTGTTGCCAGTGGCCGTGTTCACAACCTTGATCTGCGGCACAGACCCAGTGACATCCAGCAGCCAGTCGCTGTCGTGCCCCTGGCCGATGCTTGTGCGATTTCCCTGACCGTCCGCCTTGGCCTCTGCAGCCTTGGGCGCGCCGGTGGGTGCTGTGGAGGGTGCTGGAGTGGGCACGGGCGCTTGCTGCTGGGGTGACTGGGGTGTTGGGACGCGCGCTGCGGCGGGCGCTGGCGAAGGTGGAGCGGCTGCTTGCTGGGGCGTTGGGATGGGTGCTGCAGGCGCTGGGGGTACCGTGCCCCCTGCAGTTGCTGCTGATGGATCGGCTTCCTGGTTTGCCCCATCCACGTCCATTGATTCTTGGGCTCGAAGAAAGAAATTCTCAAGCCGTGCCCTTTTCGCACTGCTGTCATAGTGGAGGCCATATGACACCAGCAACTCTGATTTCCCGCCCAAGCCCGAGGCTCCACGCATCTTCACACGCAATGTTAAGGCACCTGTTGGACAGGTCGAGGCTTGGCAAGATTAGCAAGCTCAAACTGGCTACTGCGTACAGGGACATGATCTACACAAGATATTTATTTCTTCTGCCTCTGGAGGGCCAGCAGCCACATCCAAGGCCCATTCACAATTGGGTGATTTCTTGGAACCCTGGGTGTAGTCACGCACGCACCGTGCTGCACCAAACAACACGGCAAACAAAGACTGCGGGCGTCTAGCTACCATAACTCCGGAGACCTTCAAGACCTCAACTGCGAGTACTGCTGAATAAGGCACTTGCTGAAACAGCGGGAGTGGTATGACTCACCAAGTCGACGAGGCATGTGACTGATAAATGCTGCAGCAAGGCGCGGAACTGGCACGCTCTTCATGTTGGCGCAAGAATTGAGTAAGGGTGCTCATGCTCGAAAACCAGAGCGCTGTAGCCGAGAGAACCACTTCTCCATACGGGGCCGGTCTTGTTAATGAACAGGCTCTGCCCATGCCCCGGCACTGTTTGCAGGAGCAGCTGCTGTTGCTGCAGCTCCAGGTCCAACATTCCCAGCAATTTTTCATTCAGATCACGGGGACACAAGTCGATCTTGGCTGTGACACTGTGGGAAGCACAATAGAATTCCTTCAAACACTTCCAAATCATCCTACGCAGCAAGCTTGTGCAGCACAAGTGACACCAGCGAAGCAATCGTTTGAGTCCACCGGCACCTCCAGGAACTCCATCCCAATTTGATCACCTGGGGTCAAAGTGGGTCCTTGCATCAGCTGGACATCCGATTGCATGAGCACCCGTTTCTTCCTCTGCTGGGTCGCCGCTGCCTTCTTGTATGCTTGGGTGAAGAAAAACTGCTCACACACTTGTTTCCCGTGAGCAAGGCAGTGGGCGTGCGGCCTGTCGCACAAGACATAGACATCCTCAGCAGATTTTTCACTAGAAAGTAATCCTTTCATACGCTCTAATGGGTGTTTCCCATATTACTTAGCCTTCCTGATGCTACCCAGTCTCCATCTTGAGCATTCTCGCAGCTATCCATGCTCCAGGATGGGCACTTGTAGACAGCACGATCAACTGCACTGCGCCCGAAACCTTCAAGATGTCACGCACCAGCTGCTCATAAAAGCCTGACCGTGAAGAAGACGCAATGAAGGCGAATGAATGGATGCTATTTCTCTTGAGTCGTTGCAATCAAGCGGCGCCACGGCCGCGAGTGCGGCCATAAATCTACGAGAAAGTCACGCTGCTCATCTCCGTCGGTCCTGACATCTGTAGTTGGCAAGGTCATGGGCTCATCATTCTCTGCGTCGGGCAACACAGCACCGTCTTCGTCCATGGCCATGTCTGTTCCGTCACGCAGCAGATCTTCGTTGTCAATCTCGGCTGTGGCATTGCCAACAACGTTGTTCTTGAGAGCTTCTTGTTTTTCCTCTTGGCTTCTGAGAGGGCAATCGCGGCATAGGCAGCGTAGGCGGGTCTGCTCCAAAGGACCAGCTCGATGCTTCAACATCTCAACTGAGAAAGGCAAGTCCACAGCGATATCCTTAGTCTTTTCACACTATTGATGAGGATGGCAAGACTGCAAAGCTTGCAGATACAGACTGAAGATCTCTGCTCTGACAAGCAGACAAGTTTCATTGGCATGAACAGCTACCAGGAAGTTTGGTACATTCCGAGAGGTCTGCAACTGACCTGACACAAGCTGAACCACGCTGACACGGTCATCCGCGAAGACCTTCTTGGCTTTCTCATGGACCGTCGAGAGGAGATCCAACCTATTACCCTAAGGGTCCCAAGGCCCCAAATATGCCAAAGGTATGGTCCGTACTGATTTTGGGATCCTTACGTACAGGATGTTCTAATTCACGGCATTGGTGCTTTCTGGGGGGGGGGGGGGGGTGGTCTACATCACGACATTGGTGCTTCCAGAAGCTCTACTTGAGAGCCCTATTTGTGTGTTGCAGTCTAACTGCCTCCCCTACTATAGTCATTATCAACATTCTGAACAATAATTGCACGAGGGTAGCCTGTGGATTATGATGATTATCATGATATATTAGCACGGGGCAAGATTTCCCGATGAGTGAACGAAAGCCACGCTGATCAACATGTCGCAACCGGTCGGTCGGGTGAGGGGGGGTGGCTCGTAAAAGCCGCGTTGGGCAAGGATTCGCAGTGGATCATGGTGCAAAAACCTCCTTCTTTAGTCAGAACAGATCGGCGCAACTCTGCATGCGCAATATGGTCGAAGTAGGGATGGCTGCCGCTGCAGTGTCCGGAAGGATGTACTTGCTCCCCCCGAACAAATGCCTTCTAGATCTTATAGTACCAGATTGAAGCAACGCTGTAAATGAGAAGGGACTCCATGGGCGGCGTGTCTAGAAGAGTGCTGGGTCTGATACGGCTCCAGGGATAAATTCGAATTCTTCGAGGGAATATCGTGATCACGGTTTGGTAACAAGACATATCCTTCGATCTAGCCAGGGTTGAGGGTTGGGGATTTGGGCTTATCTTTTCAAGGCAAGGGTTTTTTTGGAAGGTTGCTGGGCTTGAGTTTTCTTGGGTTTTCAACACCCTCGCGTCCTACAAAGTGCTGGGGGTTTTTAAACGGGTTTAGGGTTTAGGGTTTAGGGTCTTCAGCAGGGCCTCGGATGCCTTGCAGCAAGTCCGGCCTTGAAGGACCCTCATCTCCTAAACCCTAAATCCTAAACCCTAAACCCGGGCCTGGTCATGCTCTAGGTGTGTTCAAGGGAAGCGAATCCAAAACTCGGAACCAATAAGCCCATAAACCCTGAATCGTGAACCTTAAGCCCTATGAACTTTGGTCCTCTACTCCCTGAGGGCGTCACCTACTTAAACCCCTACACGGCACAAGCGATAAGCCAAATGAAGTACCTTGATCAACCGAGAACCCTGAACATATAAACCCGGAATCCTGAGCCCTTATAAGCCCTTCATAACCCCCGTCCCTAAACCTAAAAGGGTTTAGGGGTTGCAACTATTCTACGCGTGGGAAGCATTGCGAAGCTTCGAGCATCGCCATTTATCACGGGCGATATGCTGCTAGATAGCAAACCTGAAAAAAGCAACACCGGTCGATCCCAGAACCTGGTCTGCAAGGAGTTGGGTTTTTGGGTTTAGGGGATTTCACCCATAGCCCCAGTAAACACCGACTTTCTATTGGTACTAGCTCTTGGCGAGGAACAAAGGCATTCGTGTTCGGGCTATTTAAGGCGCTCAAATTCGGGATATTTTGGAATGCTTTGGATGCTTCAGGGTTCTCCTTGATAGGGTTGTGCTGGGGCTCTGGGTTTGAGGTTCTGGCGTTTCAAAATTTTCCGTCTCAACAGACTCCCAGCGGTCTCATTGGGCAAGCGCACGGCCATGCAACAGACCTATGTGAAGCGGGCCCTTTCATGGTTTCGAGTTAGGGCTCTGAGGGTTATAAGGGTTTAGGGTTTATTGACACTGCTGTGTTCGAAAGACTTGGCCTGCACTATGTGCGCAGCGAATTTTCTTTACACATGATGGCTTGCAAACGAAGGTGAGACTTTCTAAGGCAAGCTTCCTCTAAAGAGAAGCCTGACAGATATCGACAGCCACTCCAATGGCCCCCTCTTCACAGTATGTATGAAAAAATCTTGGATTATATCCTTGGCTGTGTCTAGGAGTTCAAGAGTGGCAAACTGGAAGCCCTCAACCCTACTTGGAGGTTCATGAGGAGTCTCAGTAGCATGTAAGTATACATGCAGTAGTACCAATGCATGAGCCTCCAAGTACTACCATCGTACCAAGAGACTGTATGTTGTGACGTCCATCACCATATGCTGTAGAACCTGGGACTCTGCGTGGGAGAGGCAATGGGAATAGGGTTGCGGGCGGTGGCACTTATAATGAGGCTGCAAAAAACCTCGCAAAACACATCGAACCCTTCCAGAATTTTAGTATGAAGGCCGAGGAGCATGATGTTTTGGTTTGATGCTCCAGAGGCTCCTGGGCACAGAATGCCGACACACGGCCCTAGAAATGTAATGGGTTTTAAACCCACAGACCCAAAAGCAAAACGTATATGACTGCAGCAAGATTGTCGGAGAAGATGTAGAAGACCGTTTTGCCAGGATGGCGTAGCATTTCAGATACGTCAGGCCATGCGAGCGAATCTTGGCTGCCGCCTCCAAGGAACTATTGAAACAAGATGAAACAGTAGTTGTTCTCGATTGTAAGAGGCCATTATTTGAACACGGACCCTCACCCCTTGTTCCAATACGATTTCGAATGTTTTTGGTAAACCCATGTTTACATTAAAAAATAAAGGTCTGGAAACAAAAGCGTAAAGCATGCTTAAACCGTTTCTCGAAACATCTCGGCTAACATACCGCGGCGCTTCCTCCAGGGAGTTATAAAGCTCGCCCAAGTGAAAAAGGCAATTTGCTGCCATCGCTAAGTCATTGTCACCAGGTTGCTCGCGGCTCTTCTCACAAAGCACAGAAGCCAGAAAAGCGGTCAAAACTCGTCCATGCCACGCTTTCGTGTGGTACCAGGCCTGGTTGTCGGTTTCGTGAAGACAGAACGCACGAAACTTTGGGATCGAAACTGAAACTTTGTTTGCCTTGCGCCAAATCTTGAACATCGACCACAGCCTTTGAAGTTGTTCATCCGTCCCATCCTCACCAAGAAATCCTTTGAGCATGAGCACGTTGATCGCACTTCCGTTGGTGTAAAGACCTATCCCCAAATGGGCGACATGCATGAAGCAAGCTTTGATCTGCGACATGTGAAAGTCTGGCAAGAGCACCAAAGGGTTCAACAAGGGACTGTCAAGGTTGGGCAAACATTTTCTCAAGAATTCTGTGTTGGAGCGCTG